GGATTCGAGTGAGAAGAAAAAAAAAAAAAAAGAAAAAGAAAGAAGAAAAGAAAGAAGGGGGGAGGAAGAAACCGCGATTATATTTATACTCGAAAATATACATATTTTTGGAAAAATAGACGGAACGAACGAACCATTCGCCTCTGATCGATATTGAATAATTTTTGTTTTTGCTTCTTCTTCTTTTTTCTTTCTTTCTTTTATTTTTCTTTAATTTTTAACCGATTTTTTTCTCCAGTTAGTTAACTCGTTTCATTAATTGGCATAGATTCTATAAATGCTGCGCGTTCATCCCGTGGTATTTAACGGTAATGGAAAAATGCGTTGTGAATGCCGCAAGGACGTCAGATGCACATTACAATGCTGCCTAACACACGTGATACTTTCCCACGTGATTAGTCACGATCCTGCCGTGAAAAAGGAGATAATACAGAGGAAAAAAAGAAAAAGAAGGAAAAGAAAAATACGCGACCGAAAAGTCGCGAAATTTATTTTTTTTTTTAACAAAATTTAGGATGATATCGAGAAGAAGAAGGCTAATCTAATAATAATTTGCTTCTTTTCGAATCTGACTTTTCGAATTTAATCGAACACGAACGTGTGAATTTTTTTCGAAGCGAATCATTATTCATATTCCATCTCTTTAAAAATCTTATTCTATTCTTGACCGATCTAACGATAATTAATGATTTTATAAAAATTTTAAAAAGCTAATAAAAATCTCATAGAAATCTTGGAAATATCTATGCGCGAATTGAAAGATGAATTTGAAAAGGAAAAAAGAGAAAGAGAGAGAGAAAAAAAAATAGGCCGAAGAACTAAAAATGGAAAAAAAGCGATATCGATAACAATTTTTCTATTCCCTTTTATTAACCAGCATTGCGTTCAGTGACAATACCGATGATATAACAATTTTTAAGGCCGTGAAGATGCCACAACTCTTGCGTAATCTATGTGTATTCCATTTAATTTTACTTTACTTGCTCGTTAAACGTGAAACACTGTTATATTTTGCAGAGAAACAAAGTGAAGCAAAAAATAAATAAAGCAATCGTTCGTATTCTACACTATATTATATCTTTAAAAAAAAAAAAACTATTAAAATCCTCGATCAAATTTTTCAAATCCATCGGTTTTGAATCCCAATGACGCGAGAATGAAAAATATTTTAGAATCAATCCGATATATCTAGAATCCTTTTGCTATTATATTAACACCTGAGAAATATCGAAAATGTGATATATTTGATGTCTTTCGAGAGTAAACAGTACGATGTATTTATAGAACTTTTTATCAGGGAGTTAATACAATAACCAGTAAATTCTGGAGACCACGGCCTTGCGAATCGCAAATGTATCCGTTGCAACGCGTTATGGCGATGTCGTCGAGGTTGCGTAAGCGTTAGGCATCTCATTCAATCGAGTTTTCCAACATAAGTGTTACGTCTGAGTCACTCTTTCACACTGATTTATAGCGGACAATCTTCTGCAAATATTAGAAGAAACGTCGGATCTGTATCGACGTGTGATAAAAAAAAACGTGATTAAATTCAACGAATCCTATTTTTCCAACCGGTCATCCTCTTAACGCTACAATCAATTCTCTTAAATAACTTGCTATGAACTTTTGTTGAAACAGATTCTTATTGGCCATTTTAGAAGGAAATAGAAGGAAATTGTAGTGGAAAGAAATGTTCAAGTGCGGATTTAAATCGTTTGGATTCGTTTAAAATCTAAAGTTTAAAATTTGAAGTTTAAAATTGGCGAGTTAAGTTAAACGCTAAGAATATGGAAATCTGAATCTGAATTAGGATCTGAAAAGTTCTAAGTTTATGACTCTGAATTTTGCAAGATGGATCTAAAATCAAAGATCTAGAAAGTATACTATAAAAGTATAATAATATGCTATTAAAGATAGCGATTGATATCTCTAAAACGAATTTCTTAATAATTGAAATTTGATAATAATTTCAAATTCGTCAACTCGAAGAAATATGATGTTAGAGAGAGGAGATAAGAGAAGGAAAAATATTGGAAGCATTAAGAACCAGATTTCTCGTTTCGTGATGCATTAAAGGCCAGCAGGCTGATGATCTTACGCGTATATACCACGAACCAAACGAATCGTGAAGTTGCGCGCCTTTCGCTTCCGGTTCACCGATCTCTCCACATTCGTTAGGCCGTATTCTCTGTTCTCGACATTTATGTGACCACTTTCGCTCGATCCAATGTGTATTTCAACTTGCTACGCCGTGTCGAATTCATCTCTCCGATTAATAACAATCACGTAGCACGAATTTGCAATCAACGTGCTCTGAATATTCGTTTTAATCTTGATCTAATAATTCACGAATATGATTTTAAAAAAGGAGATGTCGTTTTTTTGTTTTCTGATTTTTAATCCATTTTTAGTATATATATTAAATAAAAATAACAGATAATACAAATAATTTACCAAGTATAAAATTATGTGAAATAATTTTATGGAATCTATTTTTAAAAATATCACTCTGATTATTTCAATATTCAATATTTAATGATCACTACTTTATCATCGAAATTATTTTTCACCGCGAGAGTGACGTCATCCAATATGGCAGCTATATTACGAAAATCCTACGAATTCATCTCGATATCGTGAAAAAGATTTTAAATATCTATAATATTAAAGCTAATGCAGCAATTCCTGTAACGAAACCTAGGCAATTTAGAATCATTTGGACAATCAATTTATGCAGGAACTAGCCAGCTAACAATAAACAACTCCTATACAGATCTCGCATGGATGAATGCATCGTGTCCGGTACACGTCCTTGTGTATTCACGAGACTCTTTATTTCGTGCTATTTCACGAAAAAAATGCATACACGAAAGAAAAATCATTCGTTTCTCAATAAACTTTGTATTTTATCACATATACAATTGTCTATCGCGTACTTTTTCGCGTCGAATATATTTTCGAATCTCGATTCAAGAGACGCCATTAGAATATCATTATAAAAAAATAAAATTTGGAGGTTTCACTTACAGAAGACGTTCTCCGAGTTAAGTATTGCATCCTCATCACCCCCGATGTCATCCAGGCCTCATATTCAGCTTCTGCACTCACTTTTTACAACAATAATCACTTATTACAATAAAATATTACGCGATCACTGACCAATTTGAAAATTCCACTCCAATATGGCGGTTCAACTAATTAACGTTTCAGTACATAGAGTGCGCTATGAATGATCGATACGATTCGATACATATCGATAATTCAGTGTTCCGAATGATTTGATAGAAGTGATCTTATTGCTCGAAAAAGAAGTAGAAAAATATCAAAGATCAAGAAAAATTAAATTTTCTTTCAATTTATTCATAAATTTTATTTTAAAAAATTTGTAGAAATTAATAAATTTTTATGTTTATCTCTCAAATTAAAAATAAATAATAGCTTCTTCATTTTCTGGTAAAACGTTCTTTCTTTTCTTAATCGATTATTACCGATGGCAGATTCTCGATGGCGCTACTAAATTCTATGAATCTGAGCCAGATGCCAGTAAAGTCTAACTCTGTTTCGTGCTGCTCTCTATAGGAGATCTCACTAACAATATAAGATGATTCTTCTTATCATTATTCATTACAGTATTTGTTACAATTAAAATTTCTTTATGCATATTAGAATTAAAAGATAATTATACAGGGAATATCGTAATCAAAGAAACAAGGTATGTATATTATAAAAAAAATCTTTATAACTGTTATTATTATCAATTACTTATAACCTTAAAAACATTTGAAAAGGAAAGTAACAGTAAATCATAAAGTAACATATATCATAAAGAAAAATATATTAAAATTATGATTCTCGATTATAAATTGATATGTTTTTAAACATTATAAATAAGAATAAAAATAATATAAGTATAAATTTTATCTTAGAAAATTATAATTTAATTTTAAAAAAAATCTAATTTAAAATCATTAAATCAAATTCCAGATAATTGTAAATATTTCAAAAAATATATTAACAGAAGACATAGTATAAAAAGTAAGTATGGAATATTATAATTATCATCGATAATGAGGATTTATAATAAAATTCATGAAAATCAATTTACATTCTTTCTAAAAGCTTCTATCTTCATATAAATAATTAATTAATTCTTAGTAAATAAAAAGTTTTAATATCCTCTAATAATCCTAATATAAAATATTCCTTCTTTTAAACTAGTTATTTTCTGTTAAATTATTCACATAAATAAATAAACTTATACGAGATTGGATTATGTTTAATTTCAACTAGTTTTGTTCGCAATTCACAAAACATGTCTTTTTGACAATATATTGTTACGCTCAATTCAAATTTATAAATTTTTATAAATTTTACAATTAAATTTTTAAATTTAACTGTGTCCCCCCCCCCCCCAAATGATCGTTACGTGTATTTGTTTACAGTTGCTAATGTTATCACATGTCGGTAAAAATGGCAACTTAATAAGTCGAATATGACATCATTGGTGAAGAACAACAAGAAAATATTGACGATTAAATTTTTATTTCGAAAAATAAAATTAAATTTAATTTAATTTTAATTTTATCTTCATTTGACAAATATATTATTTTTTTTTCTTATTTCAATCACAAATATTTAAAGAACATATATCTATACAATATAATTATACGAGTGTTATTTATTTGGAATTAATCTTTTATTAATTATTAATTCCTTTTGTTTGTAATTTGATCTATGAGGCCAGATTCTTTTATTATATTTACAAAATATTACCATTATAAGCTATTTATTATGATCTATGTCTCTAATCATGATCATTAATCTGTAATTACTTTATTTACGTAGTAATATAAAAAAATAATATTGCTAACAATTTTTCTGATTAATAATAAATATAATTAACTTATATATACACACATATTAAATTAAATTAATTAAATTGAATGATTACATAAAAAAATTACAATTTTTTTTTTTCTACAGATAATTTTTTCCATTTATTATGCATCTATTACCACGAAAATGTTATTTTTTATAATTTTCTCATCAAAAGTACCATTTTAGAAATGGAACTCCAATGCATATATATTATCTTGTTTCATTCTTTGCCACGTCTCGGTGATAATTCGAACGGCAATTTTTCGTGCAGTCCTCTAATTGTACTCTCAATTTGCAAGTCAAACAGCCGGAAGAGTACTATATTTACAAAGGCATGAGAAAACAGCTTCGATGACGTCACTGTTTAAAGGTCTGTCGTACTCTTCTGGCGCTATTCAGTACTGTTTTATTTCTGTTTAGGTAGACCGATAGAAAGAAAGAGAAAGACAAATCACGAGATTCGAGAGGGAAAGAGGAGATATGCGAACATCGAAAAGAAAAATAGATCGAAATCCCTTGATTTTTTCACTCGATTGCGGCCAATTATAAAATCATGCAAGGCGAGAATATGGTAAAAGACTATCGTCTCTTGGAAACAGGAAGGGGTTGGTTGTTTATTTTACCATTAAGTGAAATTTCGCGTGATCGATAAAAGTCACTAAAAATGACTGCATACAAAAATTAGGCGCAATAATATTTTTATACTGTAAATTATCTCTGCTATTAAATTATACGACTTCCATAAAATCCGATAAATTAATTAGATATCATAACTCAATGTTGAAAAAAAAAAATTAAACAAGTTTCATCAAGGATTATCTACTAAGCTATATAGCCTGAAAATAACCGCAATTATTTTTAATATAAAAGAATAAAATTTTTAAAGTAAATGCTTCTCCAAAGAAAGTCGTTTTACGTGTGTATTTAAATTGAATATTATTTTATTTCGAATAATTTTTTTTTTTTTAATTGAATACAAAAAACTGATTAATTCAATTTTTCCAGGTCCAGATGCTAGAATGGCATTCAAAAGATCTCAACGAATCGAAGCACAAGTCGTGGAAGCTATCCGCAGATTACAAGCCATACAAGGATCAACTCCCCAAGAAATTAGTAATTACATTGCTCAAGAATATAATATTCCTGGTTCTGAAATCAGGCCACATGTCCAACTTGCCCTCAAGAGAGGCGTAACTTATGGAATTCTTCAACGTTTAAAGGGGTAAACGTGTAACAAAATTTTGAAAAATTTTCAATAGGATTTCTTCTAGCTTCTCATACTTTTCTTCAATCAAGAGAGAATAATTTCTTTGAAAAAAAAAATCATATATATATATATATATATATATATATATATATATATAATTAATAGTGTAC